TGTAAACCAGGGTGCTGACTGAGAAAATGATACAGATTTAGTTTTTAATGGAGCAACAGAGTTTAAAATACTATTAAGACTACTGTTATAATGGGAAACCAGATCATCTAAGGTGAGTAAGTTGTTGAAATCTGAAAGTCTTGAAAAAGCAAAAGAAAGGGTGTTAGGATTAATTTTTTTGACATTACGGAAAGAGATGGTGCGAGGATTCTTGGATATAGAAAGGGTAATTTTAGCATTAAAAGAGAGTAGCAGATGATCCGTGATTGGCAGTTCATCAGCCTTGCAGTTGAAGGGAGTTAGTCCAGAGCAGCAAACTAAGTCCAAAGTATGGCCCTTAGTATGAGTGGGAAAGTTTATATACTGATGAAAACTAAAGCTATCGAGGCAGGATGAAAAGTTTTTGGTGAGTGGATGATTACTGTTGTCCATATGTATGTTAAAATCTCCCAGGAGTATTATATTAGGAGATACAGTAGTCAAGTGGGTCAGCAAATCAGCAAAGTCTCCTATAAAATCAGAATTAGACTTTGGAGGGCGGTAGATAGCAGCTACAACAGTTGGAACAGGTCCCGAGAGTTGACAAACAACGGATTCAAAGGAATTGAATACGGGTACAGACAACGACAGAACTTTCCAATTCTCGCGATAAATTACCGCGAGACCTCCACCACGGCCGTACTCCCGAGGTTCACAGGTATAAACAAACCCCGGGGGAGTGGAGTCTTGAGCTGGGAAAAATCTTTGGGCTGTTGCCACGTTTCAGTCAAACAGAAAAAAATCAAACTGTAGGACGGATTCCCAGGCATCAGACCCTTGCTCTCCTTCAACGACCTAGCTTTTGGATTTCCCTTGTTTGTACCTTTGCCAAGCCCGGCANGGATAGCCAACATGGATTTAGGAGAGGTAGATCCTGTTTAACGAATCTACTTGAGTTCTTTGAAGAAGCTACAAGTGAAATTGATCACAAAAAGGCCTACGATGTGATCTACTTAGATTTTCAGAAGGCCTTTGATGCTGTCCCTCACAAACGGCTCTTGCTAAAACTTAAAGCTGCAGGGATTTTAGGAACTGTGGCAGCTTGGATTGAAAACTGGTTAACTGACAGGAAGCAGTGAGTAGTTATTAGAGGCAGAATGTCACAGTGGGCCTGTGTTCATAGTGGGGTATCGCAGGGTTCAATTTTAGGACCACTATTGTTCCTAATTTACATTAATGATATTGACGCCAATACATACAATAAACTGGTTAAATTTGCAGACAACACCAAGGTGGGTGGTGTAGCAGATACTGATCTAACATGGGATCTGGATTTAATTAGCGACTGGGCTGACACTTGGCAGATGAAATTAAAAACGATAAATGTAATGCAGGGAGCAGAAATATAAAGTACAGATATTTTATGGGTTCCACTGAAATAAAGGTAGCTGATTACGAGAAAGATCTTGGTGTGTATGTTGATGCTATCAAGTCCTACTCTCGCCAGTGTAGGGAAACAATAGAAAAGGCCAATAGAATGTTGGGTTATAACTCTAGGTGTGTGGAGTTTAAGTCAAGGGAGGTGATGTTACATTTATATAATTCCTTGGTAAGACCCCTCCTAGAATATTGTGTGCAGGTTTGGTCACCATACCTTAAGAAGGACATTGCTGCCTTAGAAAAGGTGCAATGGAGGGCTACGAGAATGATTCCTGGTCTTAAGGGAATGTCTTATGAGAAGAGGTTAGCTGAGCTGAATCTGTTTAGCCTTGAGCAAAAGTGACTAAGGGGGGACATGATCCAGGTCTATAAGATTCTAATCGGTCTGGATGCTGTTCAGCCAAATGGCTATTTCAATATTAGTTTAAATACTACAACTTGTGGCCATAAGTGGAAATTAGCGGGAGAACATTTTAAAACAAATTTGAGGAAGCACTTCTTTACACAGCGTGTAGTTAGAGTATGGAATAGTCTTCCTGCTAGTGTAGTGGAAGCTAAAACCCTGGGTTCCTTTAAATCAGAGCTAGGTAAGATTTTAACAACTCCGAGCTATTAGTTAAGTTCTCCCCAAACGAGCTTGATGGGCTGAATGGCCCCCTCTCGTTTGTAAATTTCTTATGTTCTTATGTGTCAAAACCTTTGGCCACAACTGTACACAGCCAGCCTATCCTGGAATTTTCAAAGGACGTTAGCATTCTGAACGCTTCACATCACTCTCGTGAGTGCACGCCTAATGATGGCGGAACCCCCCTCCCCCTCAGTGTGTTTTAATATTTAATTACCCCAGGGTGTTAACCTTTGTCCCTACCCTACTCTTCTCACGCACCAGCCTGCCTACCACATGCTTATATGGGGGGGGAGGGTGTCTTTTGCAGCTTGTCATTCTAAAATTCCTTTCTTGATTTAAAGGAAAACACAAACCCTCTACAATTTGCATACATTTAAAAATGTATTCTCAAAAAACAATGGCTGTACAACTGATAATCCAACCAAATGTATAATGAAAATAGATGCTACAAATGTAGAGTATAACTACAATAAAATTTTGCAAAGTTATAATCTAAGTTAAATAAACAAGCATTTCAAAATATATTCTAGTTTATTTCAATCTCCCCAGACACACACAATTCTGAAATGTAGAAGCTGGGTGATGATTCACCAAGGACCGCACTATATGGGCTACATTCATGATTTAAAGTCTTTGGTGCCATAATAATCATTAAATTTATAGACAAACGGGAAAAAGATTTTTCAAACTTAGTCAACCTAAGAATGACTCCAGATCCACTACCACAGAGCATATAAACATTCAAGATTGTACTTTTTGATAGATTCTTGCAATCACAATATCCTCTCTCTTCTCATTTCGCAACATATGCCCAATTAGCCTCAGTCAGCAATGTGCGACTCATTGACATTCTTCACTGCTTCATCATTTCTTTTTCTTCCTTTTTGTCCAGCGACGCTGATGCCCACCCCGGCCTCCACCTTCACGACGGCCCTCCCAGATAGGCATAGGGGGCTCGATCTCTCCAGGGCGCCCTCCCCTGTCTGGGACTGTCCCCATCAGCACCTGCAGAGCAGAAATATTCCAGAATGAAACTACATTCCAGAATGGCAAACTACACATGCAATTCAAAGACATGCAGTTAGGTCGGTAAACTCTAAAATGCCCATAGTGAGGCGAGTGTGAACTGTGGCAGAGATCCCGCCTTCTGCCTTGTGCCGCTGCGATATGCTCCAGGCTCCCATAACTCAGAGTTTAAACATGGATGGAAGACCTTGGTCATGAACACTACAGCAGACCTCATTTGAGACCTGGGTAGGCAGCTTCCCCGGGCCCCAAACGTAGGGGCCCCTTAAAGACAATTTCCAGAAGTTACATTTAAGGATATAACCTAATATGATCATTTAAAATCATAGCAACTGTTAGATTGATGAAGTTGCCCCCCGTCCCAGTTGTAATGGAGTATTTTTACTTTGAGACTTAACACTGGCAAGCAATCGAACACAAAGTAGTCGAACAGAAGAAGACAACAATGAACAAGACTAACATTACATCTCCTGTGTCTGAAACTATCCCTCTAGACACATTGTAAACCGATATGAAGAGAACACAATTAACAATTAAATGAACATAGGCAAAAATTCAAGCAAAAGAGGGAACAGAAACTTCTTAAATTTGTACACCCCTCCCACCAATTAGCAAATTTTACCAGTAGCGCCCCCACCCTGATCGGTAAATTGTACCGCTGGCCCCCCACGCTTTGATTAGCATATTATTGATGTTCCATCATTTTTATTTCCCTCTCGTTTCACTTTAGGCTCCAAAAATAGCTGAAATGGCCACTTAGAGGCCCTCTACACCATGTCAGCATAGGGTCCCCAGAGAAGTATGTCAACCCTTGTGTTTAAGAGTTCACGTGCTGAATAACTACTGTCTCCTTGTGGGATTTGTGATTCACATTTCAAAGGAACAGCTTGGTAATTGAAGGGAAAAAAAAGAAGTTATACATACATGCACATTCAGCTGACATATCCAGCTAAATCAAAGAGCAAGCTTCTCAGGGAGGGACTCAGAGAATCTGCATCAGACTGAAGCTCCCACCTTGTGAATGGCAGTGCTATGTCCTGCTTTCACTGGAAGGATGAATGACTGGTCCTCTCTGGCTGCCAGGAGGGATGACAAAGAGATGCAGGACCTTCCAGAAGGGGGGGGAGGTAACGGCAAGCTGGAAACCGCTGCAAGACGCTCCTACGTAAGCATGTGGTACATGTGGAGATGTTTCCGCACTCTTTGCCAAAGTTTAACAGTGAAGTATGACTTTAGATTTGCACTTGTAATTAATGCTTTCGTCACATGTTCAAGTTATGAGAATAACTTGAGGAAATCCCTCAAGTTAATCAGAAAATGTGCAGATTTGCAATCCCTCAAGTCGACATTTAGGGAACGAAGATTTAAATTTGTACATTTCTTACCTTAAAGCATTTAATTTCATCTTTCTACAAACAAATATAATAATGAACCTATACAGACCAAATATACAGCACTCTGCAAAATTCTTAGGCAATCTTATAAAATCATGCTCAAATAATCTTCATGCTGGTGTAAACTTGTGATATGTCTGTCAAAGTGTCTGCTCAGCCACTTCAAAACCTCTCAATCACCCCTGTATTTGCCACAATCCTTCCATATACTCATATATTTTTGCCTTGACCACTACCACCCCTCATATAGCTAAACCATGCCTCACTGACTTTGATTGAGTCATTAATTAAAGTCGGTTAGTTTAATTAAATAATTTAATTAGTTTGAGCTGGATGTGAGATGTAACAAATACATGGAATGGCTGAGGTGCCCCTGAGGAGAGGTTTGGTAACTGAAGCGGTGTTCATCTAAGCATCCAGCAAGTTACCAATACATTTTTGGAGGAAGGAAAAAATACTTGCTACTTTTTGATGTGTTACTCTTTATTTTTGTATGTTCTAATGTTAAACTGTGTTTTTTCTTCTGAGCACATATACCCTTACTACGTAGATATACATTTCCTTTGACTAAGATTTTTGGACAGTACTGTACATTTGTATGTACTTATTCTGATTTATTGCAACTTGGTGCGTGCACGTGATGATTAATCACGCTCTGCTGAACAATCACAGCCAGATTTACAGATACTATTTCTTGCTAACTCCCCAAGAAACTCCAAGTTTTATTCCTTTATATACTGCTTTAAGTTTCAGGTTCTGTATGATACTTGCCCTAACTCTATACTGGAAAGGAACTGTCCATCCCTATTAGTTTTCTACACTTTTAAAAACCACATTTCAGCTGCAAAAATTAGGATATGTGTTCTAGTGATTAGATGCACATTGATGTCTGTGACAATCAAACACAGCAGATTCAGTCATGACTGTACACCAAACATATCACCCTGGTGCGTAAAGTCACTACCTAAGGATGACCTACCTGCCCCCTCTCTCCCCAGGTGAAGGACTGTCTCGTGACCTCAAAGCGCTTGATCACCATTTGCATCCGACATTCATAGTCCCCAATAAGGACCTGACTAATCTTCTGGATGTTGGACTGAAGTGGACATGAAGTGGCATCATGTAAAATTGAGGATCACCGATCCTGCAATCACACACACTTTTAATCTACCAAAATTGTAAAGAATCCATAAGGTCTGAGCTACAAGTACTCCTAACTCTTTATCTCATACCCATTGCTCAGGACTCAGTGGCGTTTTCAGAAGAGGCCCAGGCAGGACATCATCTGGTAACATCGCAAGATGAGACTCCACCTGAAAACATTACATTAAAGCTCTAAGTACAAACTGGAGATTCTAGGTGAACGTCTCATGTACAACATTTCAGATGAACTGTCGAAAATTAAAATTATGCAATGACTTATGAACCATGACTCGTATGTGTGTGTAATATGTATAATTTAAAATGATAATCATTATCAACATTAAAATCCCTTATACTTTAATAAAAATATGTACCCATTGCTGTGCACATTAGCAATCAAATGTATATTAATGTAAATATTAAGTAAATCTGTACATCCACAGAATTTTACAAAGAGATTACAAATGTCACTCATTTCAGCAAACCAGGAATCCCTGGCAATGACACGCCATTCCACAAATCATGTTAGATATTCAGTTAAGAATCTGCGTGTTTCACGTTTTGCTCACCTGAGCGTATACATCACTCAGCTGAGAGGAAGCAGCCAGACCCAGAGCCTTTATCAGCTCTGAAAACTCGTATTCAAACTCATCACACTCTCTCTCATTCTTTTTTCCACCTTCAGCTTCTTGGTCTCCCTCCTCAAGGTCCAGGTTTTTACCCCGCTCCTCTCTCTGATCTTTCTCATTCTCATCCTGTTTCTGTTCCTCTGGGTGAGTATCTTTAAACTGGAGTATTCTCACTGCAAGAAGTTCTGTTACCAAAAACTCTACAAGTAAAAGAAGAGGACAAAGAAGAAGATTCTCTCACCTTCCATTCCTTTTCTATCTCAGCCTCCTTAAGACTTCGACCACAGACTGTTTCACTTACTGGGAGAATGTGGTCGCTGGTTTTTATTCCAAACCATTTCTCAATTAATGATACTTAACTAATTTAATTTATACACACATTAATCAGAAAATGTTTACACACACACACACACACACACACACACACACACATACACACACACACACACAGGTAGTTCACTTTAAGGAGCATCTTTTTCACCAATGAGGTTGTTGAGAAGTACTGAGCTTAAGGTCTCAGTAGTCAGGCTTGCATAGGGACAGTGCAGCTTTGTCAAGACATCCCTCAACTCCCCCACCAGGACGGTATTCACCCTCGAATCTGGTGGGGGGACAAAAAGACACTTCAGCCAACCCTGGTCTTACAGACGCAAACCCTAGCGGAGGTAACACTCTCGCGGCCCGCAAGAGCAGCTGGCGACTACAAGCTAAGCAGGGATAATGGCAAAGTCACCTCGTCTGTCCCCATCCTGCATTTCTAAACACGTGGCCCGGAGCTCTGTGACCAGCCACGTGAGAAGGGGGCAAGGTAGCTCGTCACATGTGCATCTCTCCAAGCAGGCACTGCCCGGGTACCTACACCAGCAGTCACAAAACAAACATGTACGACTGCGGACATCTATAAACCATTATGCAGCATTCAGTTCTTCCCCAAAAGCAAACTCATCTGTTGTGGCTTCACTATAATCAAAATTAAATTTTGTATTAATGGAATCATTTCTTTTACAATGCTTAACCGCCCCCCCCGAAGTCTGCTTCATGCACAGCAGAACTTTTCCAGATGCTTTTGGTACATGACGGTTTATTCCTGTACCTTTTCTTTTTAATAAAACTGAAATCTCTAATGCAGGTTGGTTGTGTGTGCCTTATTACGACATGGTCGCTTGGATGAAAAAGCAACATTTACACACAAAGATGTTTTAGCGTCATTATCCTTTAGGCCTCTCCATGTGCATCCTTGTGTTACAACTTTATAGTTTGACAGGTACGGCAGTAGAAATGCATAAGTTATGGATCATTTCCTTACTCTTCAGCGCAAATAAGCTAGTTTCCCTTTAATTAAAAAAAAAAATCGGCCTGTCCCTCTTTACTTTCAGTTGTTGTTTTGATCAAATAATTACGTTTTACTGTTAAGATTTTGCAAATTTTACTCCCGAATGTTGCTTATTTCAACGCAGAAGCATGACGAATTAATTTAGGCAAACGTAAATAAAGCTAACTGCACTGCAGCTGATTTTGGCGACGAGGTTTGCAATATACTATTACGTTTCATCGGATAGCATTAAAAAGCCGAATCGAAGACGAACAACAAATTGAATGAAATTAACGGCATCATTCGTTAATAACATCTGCGAAGAATATATGTAAAAGTTGCTGGTTAACGAATGAACCGTATTAAACAGAACACTATTATAATTCAGCAGCTGCTCACCCGAGGGCCTTAAGCCCCCATACTGTCGGCGAAAGTCTTGCCATGGCGCGTCTGATGATTTTCTGCTAAACAGAGCCGACAAACTTATATTGCTTATATATTATATTGGAATCTTGCACCTGCAATCAGCCATGCTACAGCGGGTCACGTGAAGCAGAAAAATCACATAGAACACTTCCGGTTTGACGAAGGTCTGCCATTGGCGGAGTGTCGAGTGGGCGGAGCCGAAAGCGCAGCGTAGCCGAGCTGTCGGTACGGGCGGCGCCGGGCGGTAACTTGGCGGGACTCATCGTTCTGCCCTTACAAACAGTACTTTCTTGTTATGGCAGCGCAAATACAATTAAAATAAGTACACATTTGCGCTGCTATGACAAGAAATACCTTGCATTTTAACCTGTATACCACAAATGAGTTAGAGTTAGCATATGAAGATTAAAATGCATTATATTTTGATTTCATATCAGCGCAGATGCACATGAAGTACGCTTTTATACTGCAGGTATGTTACAAGAAAACGAGACAGTAAAATTAAGACCTGCAAATTGTGAGAGTGTAAAGAAACATAAATTTTGATACCAAAACCACCCCTCTATGTTCAGTATTAAGGAAGTTATGACAATTTTAATATTAGGGGAATGGCTAATTTCCATGTATTGTCTTTGCATTAGAATAAAACAAAAGCTGTGATCAACAAAAGTGAATGTTCAATAACTTCCTTGTGGGTTGAGATAACTGAATGAAACTTTCAACACGTACGGAGAAAGTTAAAGAGAATCAGATAAAACACTAAACAATTAAGTTGGATATCTATTTCTCCTTTTAATTAGTTAATTAATTAGTGTGACGGACAAGGCTAAATTTAAGATGCAAAAACGCAGTGACATGGTCTGTAGCATTGTCATACTCCTCCAAATGACACCAGTATGCAACCGTATAAATCTTTTTGGTGGCCCGCAACTTTTGTGCAGGATTTTGGGAAATTTTCATAGATTTCGTGTCCGCCATGACACTCAGTCAATCAGACAGGCGATCTTCGGAACGGTAAATAACTGTCTCGGATTCATTTGATTTTGATGAAACTTCACCAGTTAACAGAAAAAACAATAGAAAGTTGTAGAAAATTGTTGTTATTGTCCAAAGCATAGATTTTGGTTTAGAACAGGTTGAACTTGATGAAAATTTTCGGCGCAAGCAAAAATGACAAACCGTATGATCAAATTGAAAAATTCGAATTCGAGGCTGAAGAGGGGAATCCTAAGTATGTCATAACAAGGAATCTCGCAGAAATAGCCGATCACAGACAGCGCACTGCCCATTTGACCTTGGGGTTACCCTGTGATGCACCTATATCGCATAGCAGTGGCGATCGTAGAAAATGGCGGCCGGGATTCTCGTAGATTGTAACATACCTATATACTGTTACCACAATCGATTGTCGCACGTATCGTTTTTTAAAGTTGAATGCGTAACAGGTATAATATACCTACAAGGTTATTTCCGAAGATATTCAATAATTTGGCAAAACTTAAAAGGTCCAAGCCAGTAATTTTTCCCCATCATATTTATGTAATAGATGAAGCATGAACAACTTGATATTTCGGAGTTGCTTTCGGATCATATGTGTTTTAAGATGACTTAAGTTGTTACGTGTAATTTTAAACCCAGAATGTAAAACTAATCGAGCAAGGCTTTATTCTAAAACACGTTAAACATCACGATTAAGTGTGCAGACATTTGTGTTTAAAGGCAAGGGCGTAGTCCCCAAAATCTATTAAGGCTTCATTCATCCCTCCAATAAGCAGACCTTTGTATTTAAATTAAGTCATTCCTCCCACAAACCCTGGCCTACGCATTTTTTAAAAGTGAAGGACTTTAGTGTGCACAATGTATAAATCGGTATAAGCAGAGGATGAGCAAGAGCCTTACAGAATGACAGGAGGCAAGGGGCAGTATTCCAATTATATTCTCAAATACAAAAAGTCTGAATTTAGATTGAACATTTAACTACATACGTGCATACAATTTTACAGACATGGTATAAAATTTGTCTTTAACACACGCACAAAACTCGTTAATGACTACGAACTGGCAAAACAATCTGCAGGATAGGGGAAATTATGTTCATTTGAAAGAATTAACAGCTTTAAAATGGTACATTAATGGAAACCCACACTTCAAACACTTCAAATTTATCACAAAAATATTGATACAAGTTACACAAACATACTAAAATGTTAGCCATTCCGGACTTACATTTTAATAAAACTAAGAATTATGGATATGAAAGCAAAACATTTGAAATTTTCCCAGGTGAAAACTTATGCATATAAAAAAAAGAAAAATGCCATTTTGTCAAACATTATACTCTTTAGTAGCTGACAAAGGTAAATATTAAAACAAATGCTCTCTACATTGCTTCCATCTTGCCTAACACACGAGCAGCATATGGTCTTAAGATTACACATGCAATTGCCAGTCAAATAAAATGAGCAAAGATGCACTGTTGTAGCAACACAATCCTGTTGCTATTTTCTAATTGTGGTATTACTGCAGGGTTTTTTTTGTTTTTTAAAAGAAAAAAATGCCTAGTTTGTTATCTACAACAGGTGTGTGTTTACGCAGTTGTTTGTATACTTGAATGAAAGACCTAAAGTAGCTAAAAAGCACAGTGAGAATGGAAGGAATCAAAACTCCATTACTTTTAAGAGGGCGGGGATAAATCTGATTATAGCTTGCAAACGAAGGTGAAGGAGGCGGCGGCTGGTGGGGAACAAACACCGCAACGCAGACCACTGACGAGATTGCGAGGAAGGGATGGAACCTTTCTGCCATGTGTCAGGACAGGATGAGAAGCTGCCGCACAGCTACTGAGACCCGCCCTGTGACCCCTGGCTTCCCTGGCTGCCTTGGTTCGAGTAGCTGCCATAGTTTCCGTACTGTCCGTAGTACTGGTTCCACTGGCTCTGGTTCTGGTAATACTGCTGCCACTGCTGTGCGTACTGCAGGGGGCAGAGTGGCATTGGTCAATGCTCCGCTCGGAAAAAGGCGGCAACGGAAATGATCAAAGTGGTTCAGCCTCACCTGCTGGTACTGCTGATTGTAGTTCTGTTGCTGGCTATAGGTCTGTCCGGTGGCAGCAGGAGCTTGACTGTAGCTCTGGCTGTATCCAGGATACTGACTGTAGTTTGCATAGTTGTAACCCTGGCTGTAGTTGCCCTGATTGTAACCTTGACTGTATCCCTGGTTGTAAGACTGAGGCTGTAAAGTAAAAAATCAGAGACCGGTTTACCACACTTTGATCTGCACAACACCCTTTAAAGTCACGCCGTGATGTGCAGACATCCTGAATGGTGTGAGGGGCTTGCATTTTATTTCTTTAGCCAATCAGAGTCATCGTATGACATCACCACATTGAAAATGAAGAAATTGAAGAAATTGACCAAACTCAAGGCTTCCAGCAGAACTGTGTGGCTTAGCAGGTTCAAGCCTTATCATCATCATCATCATCATCATCATCATCATGAAATAAAGGCACACCCTTCCGTTGCTCTGTCCAGCCTTTGTAGGTAAGCATACTCCTATGTTTGGTATCTATGACATGTCCCTTAACAAAAGACATACACGATAAAATGGGTACTTCAGAAATCTGTGCACCACTTAGAAAATATTGGCTTTATTAAAAATATTGTGGGCAGTGGTGGCTTAATGGTTAGGGAAGCGCACTTGTAATAGAAAGATTGCAGGTTCGAATCCAGCATGGCACCACTGAGGTTCCCTGAGCAAGGTACCGCCCCCAAGCACTGCTCCCTGGGCGCCGAATTAGCTGCCCCCTGCTATTTTACGAAATCACATATGGGTTAAATGTAGAGGACACATTTCGTTGTTGTGTTGTGGTGTGTCATCAATGACCACTGATCACTTAATTTTAATTAATTCTAATTTAATTATTGCAGTGATGACATACAATGGAGATGCTGACTCAAATTGCCCCTTGGGGACAAGTTTTTTTGATTTGATTTGATCTGACTGGTAACAGAAGGGAAACGCAAACCCCTCCCTTGTTGACACAGGGACACACAGCACTTGGCAAAATCAAGACATGCGTGATGGGCTTGTTTACCTGGGCCTGGCTGTAGGTACCGGCAGTGGTGCTGCTGCCCTTGTTGTAGGCTGCCTGGCGGCTGTGGTTGTAGCCTCCTCCGGCCTGCTGGTTCCGGTTGTAGCCACCTCGTCCCCCAGAGCCACTGTCACGGTTATTATTCCCCCAGCGGTTCTGATTGTACCCTCCACGGTTATATCCTGGGAAAGAGGAAATGGTAGAATTGGTTCGCTGATTCCATCTATTACACTGAACCATGAATAGCAGGAATAGCAAACCACAACCTACTCACCGCCTCTGAATCCACCGCCTCCGGTGCCACCGCGGTTCTGGAAGCCACCGCGGCCTCCCTGGGGTCCGCTGCGGTTGTCATAGCGCTGGTACCCGCCACCTCTGCCGCGGAAGCCCCCCTGCCGGTTGTCGTAGCGCTTGTCGGGAGGAGGGGCAGCCTTGCGGCCCTCCTCATTGTACTGCTTCACCAGCTTGTCGGCATCTTCTCGCTGCAGCTCCACGAAAGCAACGTCGTCGAGAAACTCGCCGGCCTCCGGGAGCACAAAGTTGGCTACAGGAACAGAAGCAGGGTGTGTGGTGGGGGGGTGGGGGTGACGAAGTAGGGGACGAGCACAGCCGCATCGCCGGGGGACAGAGAGAGAGACAATTAGTGACTGGTAGAGGCTGCAGGAAGCCACAGAGAGAAAGAACGAAGGGAAGGGGGAACGGTGGCAGAGATGGATGTCGAGTGTGGGCTTAACAAGGTTGGAGCGAACATTACCTCAAGGGACAGAGGGAAGATTTGCTCCAGTTTCAGAAGGAAAATGAGGAAAAGGAGAGAATAAAGTAGAACAAAAAAAAATGCCAGACTTTTGGGGGAAGGGGGATGATAAAAGGAAAACAGAAAAGAATCTCTGCAAATCAAGCATTTCAATACATAGCAAAGTGAAAATTTAAGGGCAAATTCAAGGCCAGAGTGTTAAGATGTTCACATGAAGATCACATGAATCCTGAGCCCTGGTTGACCAGTTTAATTGTCATAAGAACCATATGAAAATCAGGCTGATCCCGCAAAGCCAGCAAATATGGCCAAAATCCCAAGTGATAGACAGTACAAATGGGGAAATCATTTCCGCCATCTCTCTGAGAGACAAAAATTGGATAAATTATTTCTGCTTGTTTTGCAGTGCAGCTAAAAGAAGCAAAGGGTGATGAAATGAGATACAAAAAAAGGATGAAATCTAATTCAGGAAGAAGACAGGTATACGGGCCTGAAAATCTGGCAAAGGGGAAAACTAAGGGGGGGGGGATGAGGTCTTCCAAGTTCGATTAAAAAAATAAATAAAAACAAAACAGTAAAAGCAGATCTTGTGTTTGCTGTTTTTTTTTATTTGTTTGTTTCTTATGAAATTCCTACCTTTCATTTCTAACACAGCATGATCGGGCACATCCTTCCCTTCCTCATCAGTTCGCTTTAACGTTCGCTCTTTTAAATCCTCGTCCGTGGGACAAATTACAATAGCCTTGCGTTGAAAACCTTCAAAAGGACGCATTTTTCGTCTCTGGGCTGATCCATATACATTTGTCTAGCAATGGTGACAAGAAAGAAGTAGAAGCTGTTCATTGTTTGCTTGTTTGATTTTGTTACGGCTTTGCGTTCCAGAGGAGAGAAACTGGAATCCTGCAATGATGAAAGTGAGAGAGTTTCTTGGTTGTCATTTGCCTATATTTACTGTTCTGGAACTACTGGTTGTCTCTCACAACCCCACACACTTACCTTTATGTCTGGATCGTGTGCTTCAGATACTTTTCAGAAAGAAAATTTCAGGGGCCCTTTAAATACATCAAGCTAAAATCACTCCTAGCCTGCTCTAGGCAGCCCTGTGCATATGACACTATGCTTACTCAGCCATGTATTTCCACTAAAGCAGTGGAAAGCAAATGCACATCTCTGTACTGGTTAATATATCACAATTTTGATGCAACAGTACAGGTTAAAGAATGGGAATGAATCCGTTTGAGTAACATCAAAAACATGCTTCGGCTATTTGGTTGCAAAGCAGAGAGCGCTGATTACTCAAGGTTATACAGTTCAATACTGCTTAAAGAAAGATCTACAAAGGACAAAACTATGCCTTTTCATTTTGGCAATTTACTCTTTACATACAAAAATCTCGACATTCAATATATACCTGATAATGAATTAAATTACATTTTAAACGAGTTTCTTAACACAGATTCTGGTGTTTCAAATACACGTAGCTGTCCCTATACTAAGAGGGTCCCCTTACTTACCAGTACCTACCTGCTCTTCAAAGGCACTTCAGTCCCATGGACATGAACAAACATTCACTACTTACCTGTGGGTACTCACCATTTCCAGGGTGTCCTAGGGCATGTCCAGTAGACCTTACTTACCTTATAACTCTGTGACCAACATGCCCTGGAAAGTTAAATGTTAGTTTTTTTTTTTTTTTTACTTACCTTGAAATTTAATTCATTTAAAAATACAACATTAAAAAAGTTCCTTATGCTACATATATACTATAAAAGCTAGTTTATATCAACTTTTTCTTTTTTTTTTTACATTTAATGTAGCAACAGAAGGTGTATTTCTTACTCACCAGGCAGTGTTTACTTGTTTTCAACATCTTATTATTCACATGGACTATTTGTACAGTGTAGAAAGAGTTTTCAACAAGACATACAATAGAGCAAATACTGAAAATGACAACATTCTTTCTGTCACTTGAACAAAACAAGTTTCTTTGAAGTACATAACAGCAACATCATATTCAAGACAAAGACAAGTGTGGTGAGCTCAAAAAAAAATTAGTTAGAGGCCAGTCTTCTACACAGCAAGAACAATGCAGGTGGGGGGTGTATGTGAGCGAAGGGAAGGGTTTGGTTGCAGTACCTGATCCAGGATGTAGTTACGCTTCTTGCGAGCGGCGATCTGGATCAGTCGGTTTAGACACTGTGTGGCCTGTTGGATTAGGACGTCCCAGCGGCCCGCGTAGTTCCGCTGACGCCGAAGACCCATCACCTTTGGGGGTGGACAGGGAGGCAAGCTTGGGGTTTTGGTGCCTTTTTACCAGCCTGAATGCTACTTAACCAAGAGGTCGAAATGTACCTTCATCTTGTCCATGATGGCATTGGTGCCCAGGATATTGAACTTCTTGGCTGGGTTCTCTTCTGCATGCTTCATCGCCCAGGTGGTCTTTCCAGACGCAGGCAGGCCTACCATCATTAGTATCTGACAGAGCAGGAAATGGGTCAAGCAACCACCACACAGACATAACACAATGTCTTCTGAATCCAACATCCTAGGATGATGCTAACAATCCTAAATTAATACGATGTGGAGCAGGAAGAGCTGGAAAACCCATTTCTAAACCACAATACGTGTAAGAAAGGCAAAGTATGCTTTCAGCATCTCATGCAACCATTTATTAAACACCACCATAAGCATTTAAAATAAAAGTGGCGGCATATTTTCTGTTACACGTTAATGATACAAAAAAAGACAAAGCAAATCAATCAATCCATCCACCCATCCACAATTGTGGAAGGATCATTGAAGCCAGATTTGAAATCACGGTGACAAAGTTACCATTTTGAAATCCTACTTTTCTCCAAACATCTCAGGGCATTTAAGTGGTCGTGCACACAGAAGCATTGCTAGTTTACATTCAAACATCCAAATGCAAAAAATAAATGAAGCATTTCCTACACTTCCATGTGGAATAAACTTTTGGACAGACATTGCAGCAACCTCGTTGAACAAAGTCAAGCCACCAATATCTGCATCTCTCATAACACATCTGGCATTAACTGTGAAGCTCTCATTGTGTAGCGTTTCCATCTGTATGTGTATAGGATACCATCCGTTTGTAAGGGAAAGCAGGAGACAAATCAAACCAGGCTTTTATTTCTCCCCTAACAGCTTTTGCATCTATTAACTAATGCGTTATATACAGTGAAAACTTCGCCACAGTCTTTCTTTAAAAGTCCTGTTTAGAAATGGTTGAAGGTCTACTAAAAATATTTGGGAAAGTGAAAGGCAGTGTTTTACATCTGTAAATGCAAACCGGCCTCTTCAAACAAATATTGCAAAACAAAAATATTTTTCATCTGTGAGCCATTTGGCAATGATTTAAAATTAAACGAGACAAGTACCAATTATTCCTTGTCTCCAACTACCCTGAGAGAGATACCTGGATTGGTTTGATGTTAACTGTAAATTCTGGGAAGTCTGTGCAATGTCATGACCGAAGCTCTTGTGCTATTTACAAACTGGAAGGAATACTACTGGTTTCAGAATATTTTTGAGCCCTAATTTTAATATACAATAAAAGGTATATCAACATACATGGTATTGTGTCATCCTATATCTCATTTTGAAGAAATAGCGATATACCGTGAAAATCTGATGTACTGTCTGGCCCTAGGCAACTATAAAAGATGTGTTTGGGAGGACAAGCGAAGCCAATGCCGTTTATACCGCACAGTACTATGGAAAACAATAAGCTAATTATGACTGTCAGTTGGCCACAGCTAATTCTGTTTGAATGTCATGTCAGAAATAAGCAGTTTCTGTATTTCTTGGTTTCCCAGTAAATATCACCAACATGGAGACAGTAGTTGATAAGACCAAGACTGTTATACCAAAAATAGATATATTGCTGAAGAAACATCCAATATGCAAAAGTCATTTGTAGGGGTGTAACAATATACCCAGCCCACAAGATGAGACACGATATTGGGTTCACGAGACAATATTTGAACAATATTTTAAGGAAAACTTCAAAGAGGAAATATATTACTGGAAAGCAGCCTTTTATTTAATTAATTTGAAAGACAAAAAATGCTAAATAATGCAGATGTATGGTGAAATGTTTTAAATAATCACCATCATCATATGCAGTAAAGAACAGAACAAAAACCTAACACCATAAAATATTTCACTACAAACTCAAATGACAGGCTTCTCTTGTATTTGACTACTCAATTGAACATAAAATAGAATATAAATAAATCAATATAAATAACAAACATAAAACATTTTTTTAATGCAGTGGATTTAAGTATAGCTATGATGGTGCTGCAAATGGCTTTGCATAGTAGTAGTGTTAGCCGCTGTGTAAGGCATTATTTTCCTACAATGCTTACAGATAGTGACAGACAAAACACGAACCATCTTGCCGTTCATATTTTCTGCCGGGTACGCAAAATGCTGCCACACAAAACATTTAAAAGTGTATGGGGCATCTACTATGGTACTTTCGTCAGACACCAAAATGCTTACATCAGCTGATTTGCAGCGCCTTCACAAGACTGCTTTTCACTCTGACGAGAAATCTCGTCATGTTGTAATATCGCGAGATCTCGTGACACGAGATTTCGTTACACCCCTACTCAGACATCGGCCGATTGTGTGTACGACTGAAACAAGGATGAAACTACCCCTGCATTCTGCATATTTTTAAAATGTGCAAATAAGCACCTCTTAAGCTGTTATTCAGACATGTCGCATCGCTTTGGGCTCCTAAGTTTTTTTTTTTTTTTTTTAATAATTCAGAGTACTGAAACTGGACCAAACCATGAACCCAAAACCAAGGTTTGTGGCAAACTGTAAATTTTGTGTACCATTGCACCCCTAATACACACAAGTTCATGTGAGGAATTCTTCCCAAAGCAGCTGTTCGTTGACTGAATACAAAATTGCCAGAAAAATCATTTTAAACAGTATGATTTAATCTGATATAATCAGTTATCAAGGATGGAACACTGACGACATTTAGCACAAAAAAAAATCTAAGCTCAACCAAGCACTGGCCAGGGAAGAAAATGTTCCCTAAGAATGTGCCAGAGGAATGTATTTAGACTAAATACAATTAACAGAATCAGGTAGTGTATCCCAACCAGGCTGTGTCCCCCGGCCTTGAGCCCTATGCTTAAAGCGATAAACTTCGCTGATTTGTCGACCACAAGCACAAGTGCCAATTTGGAAGTGGTACAGATGCGCAGGGAAAAGAGAAACAAATTCTAAGAACAAAAATGGAGCAGATACAAAAATATTTATCTCCCAGTTACATTAAATGCATTATCTTTTGCTTGTGTCTCCATATTTCTACATCAGAAAATTTTACTGATAACATATTTTGGTGAAATATCACCGGTCCTGGAGGGGAGACTTGCCAGTATTTATTAGCAGAATAATGTTATAGTTTTTTTTTTTTATTTTGTGGAAAATATTTTTTTATTATTAAATCTGCCAGATTTCATAATAAATTATAATATGCAGCAGGCTGTATAAATAAAATATTAAAACATGCAATACAGGAATTTTTAAGCAATATGTGAAATAGTTCTTCTCATATTCTAGGACTGCACGATCGATCCCCACACTCCGCAGTAACTAAAGGTGGCAGTATCCTTCAAAGGATATATGTGTATGAGCTGTAACCGCAGCAGTATCACAGTTCCAGTGCATCGCCTGAGCAGGGTGCCCGAGATGGACTTTTTCATTTGCTCTGATCCCACCCGCTGTTCACAATTGGCTGACAAGATGATGTCGCAGGGTTGATCAACAGGACTAATTATGCAGTTAGTGGCAGCCTTTGCCCAGCACCACATTTTAAATAGTCAAACCTCGGATTGCAAGTAACTTGGTTTGCAAGTTTTGCAAGACGAGCAAAAATTTAAAATAAATTTTAACTTGATAAATGAGTGAGGTCTTACAATAGGAGTATTATGTATACGCTTTGTCTGCCGAGCGTCACGTGATCATAACTGAGCCGATGGTTCTTCGCTCTCGCTCGCTGTGGGATTGTTGGTAATAGTTTCCCATGCTTGGTCTCAGTCAGCATGCGTCACTTGTATAGTCAAAATTTAGTAGAAAAGCACCACCCGAATAAGGGCGTAGCAGTGCGAGCGATGAATCTGTTTAACGACAATGCAATGTCACATTTCTGAGTAGTCAAAAACGAGGCAGAAGTGGCTGTCATTGGATAGGTTCCTTGTTAAAGTTGCACAAAAAGAAAAAGATTCCAGTGAGCCAACAGATAGCAGTGATTCCGTTAGTTATAGTGAAAGTCTACAAAATAACCCTCCTCTTCTCCTCTCTCGTCTCCCTCACACCATCCATGATTCTTTTCAAAGGTAAAGTGAAGGTTAATTTGTTTTATGTATTTTTACTTTATATTTTGTATTAATCATTTTTATATGAATATTTTTGGGTTGTGGAACGAATCATCTAAGTTTCCATTATTTTTAATGGGAAAATTCGCTTTGATATACAAGTGCTTTAGATTATGACCACATTTCCGGAACGAATTATGCTCACAATCCGAGGTTTTACTGTATTGTAAATCAATGTGTATTCATGCATTTCTATTCATAGTAAATGCTGTTACCGTGTAGTTTTTACCGTGGAATGCTCATTCCCCAAGTGTGTAACCGCGAGTGTTGTGTAAATTATCGGCTTCAATGTTTGTGCTGCTTATAGCAGTAGACCAATATTGGCTGTTATAAAGAGAGCAGCTTCCATTTTAAAAGAGCCTTCCTCTCCTTTATTAAAATGACTCACGCATTCACCACAATATGTTACTTTGAGTTCTGTATGTGGGACCGCTGTATCGAAAACATTCTGCGCCCTCTGGGGCTGTGGCATGACAAGGCGGCAGCATCATTTTAGGTACGCAACAGATTGTTCTCTCCAACGTGTTTGATTTTGCTTTGTCTGGATGTTATTTGAAGTATATGGATACCTTGACAACTAACAGAACAACATGTTCATCCTCCATTGTTTTGGGGTAGGGGAGTAGTTTCGTCATATGTAAAATTTGCACGTGAAGTTTAACCTACAAACATTTTGGATCTCCCTTGCTTATTCAGCATAAAGATCTCAGTTCCTGTTTGTGACGGGAAAGCAACACACTAAAGTGGCTAGGAACTACAAAGATTCCTGGCTGAGACAGTGCTGACCAGGCTCTTGAACTTCAGTAGGAAAGTGCTTAAGAACAAGTTTAAGAAGTTCAACAAAGTAACAGTGACCAATAGTAGAAAACTATATTTTTGGAATGGGGGGAGGTAACTAAGTTGCATCCATCAAATTAACTGACTATCCTTCAACGGGGCAGCAAAATGAAAGAGACTGCCATAGCTTAAACAAACTATATTGGCACTCATTTAACAGCGAAGGTTCAGAATATGAAAAAAATTCTGTCACTATTGTAGCTCATCTCTGAACTAGATTTTTAAACTACATTTCAAGCTCCCAGATAACATTTACATCATTACCTGGTTGCCTAGCATTCTATAGATAACACAATACATTAATCAACACTGAGATAGCGTAGAATGGGTCACTGGTCAAAGTTTAACAGTTGTATATCCTTGACAGTCTATTACAGACTGAAACAGACATTACTAATCATACTGATGTGTTCCCATGGCCTAATTGGATCAACAGATTCAAGTCTAAATCACAATTTGGAACCAAAGAGAATCTCATCGGTACTTATGTCTACACGTGTCAATGACCCTCTGTGTAGATACCTGAACATCCAACCTCTCAAAAAAAAAAAAAAAAAAAACACATTACACAAGTATAATGTATTCTGCAAGCTATGTAAAATGCTTGGTTTGTATAAAGACACCACTTACCTCACATTCAGCTTTGCAGGAAGGTCCCACGGTGCCTCTGGCCCTGTCCTCTACTGGAACATTCTGGATAAAGGTGTATCCCTCTGGTTGAGGGAAGAAAGATTCTTTCTGGCCAAAGTTGAACTCCACTGCACAGTTCTTGACCAGAACGTGCGGTAAGAGAGGTCGGCCAGCCAGCTCTTCTCTCTTGATGCAGTATGCTGTCTCCAGCCATTTCCCATTCTTTGAAAAACATATCTCGATATCTTCTCCACTTTCAAAGTCCTGTCGGTGACAGTGCATGGGGGGGTTAATAAATTTGACCATATAAAGAGGGGCATGACAGATCATTGATTGGTTTTATTCTTGCCAATATCTGCTTTTTGTGACTTTGAAATTCTAGGACTCCAGGGGAACATTTTGTAACCAATAGACAAGAAAAATGCTAAAACAGACTACAAAACCGGACAATGTCCCCCAGACATGACAAAGCAGCGCATTTTATACCTCAGTACAACGTAACAACCATGTCAATGTGGACGTTGTCCAGATCCATGAAGTAACCACACAAACCTTCACTGTAAACACTTACTATGTAACAACCAAGGACGTCATTTTCTCCAAACCTTTCGCCGTAATCTTCAAACTTGCAGTCCATGGATTTCTTGCCTGTTCCTCCATATCCAAAAGAGAAAGGCTCCTCACCTAACATAGGAAAATAAATTCAGTTGTTTAGCATCATACATACAAAATAATCCTTATAGCCAGATATCAGCATCTTGTAAATGTCTTTATAGTAAAAAATTTTCCTCCCACTTTGAAGTGGTTTAACATGACACAATATTACAATTAAAAGTTAACAAGTACAAAAAGAAATTCATCCAAACTCCTAATACTGACTTATATTCAAACACTCTATTTATAGACTGCATGTTAGTACACATTTTGCAGGAGAAACAAAATTTTAATTAGAAAAATCTGTAAATACATCTTTATATACACTGTAAATTATATCAACTGGAAATTTGCAAAATTGCGGGTTAACCTATAACAGGGGAACTTAAATGTAGCTGGAAAAAATATATATTGATGGTACTAATAGTGATATCATTGTGTAACCAAGTGCCTGTGAGTAATTGTGTGTGCACAAACACACCCCAAAATAAGCATCCGCATCAAAACATGCTTCTTATAAGCTATATTCTATGTTGCATTATTCATACGATTTACTTTTCATACGTATCTGACAGCGCATGGGGAGTTCCACAGAGTTCAACATTTCCAAGATTCCACAGCTTAAATTCCCATTCAAAGTTTCTGGAAAGTTTACAGTTATTTTCTGCCCCTTTGCAACCCTTCTTCCCATGGAAAGTTTCTGGAAAGTTTTTCTGGAAATTTCCCAAAAATCTTCCACCCTTTTGCAACCCCCACCCCCTAGGAAAAAACTGTCCAACAGCAAAAAAGCGCTTCATAATGTTTGTGAAGAGGCACATGGTGAAGTTATTTTAAAGAGATGCTAGTATAAGTCAGCGTAATGTGTCAGGTGTAATGTGAAGACTATGCTAGAAAAAAAAATTGGATCTTAACAGGTCAACAGACAGTAGTAGTATTTTCTTTAAATGCTAGGCTAGCTTTATTCACATTGCATGCAAAGGGAGTCACACCTATGACTTCTCTCAGCGTAGCTCAAATCCACTGAGTGGTTGCAGGCTATTTGCATGTTTTTAATGACATGACACATCCATACATTACACTTTGATTGGTCAAGAATGATCTCACCCACATTCCCCAACTTGTTTTTCCCTTACCAACTACACTTGTTTACTTAAGCTCATGTACGAGTGGCACCCCAACTAGACCAGTACTTTCCTAAGGTGGCCATAAACCTCCTGACTATTTGAATGCTTCCCAATTCTTCAAAGAACAGAATTTTTTGCAGCACATCGGTCTTAGACCAGGGATGTTCTCTTTAGGTCGATCCTGCCCTTCTATCAACCCCCTTTTCTTCTCTTTTCCACACTCAATTTAGCAAGCTGGCTAGACTGTATGCCCACTTCACCAACATCCAATGTTCTTGCCTGAGCGTCTCTATACATTTTCATTGGCTAATATCTCTCAATGTTAGTAAACCAAGCAAAATTATGACATATGCATGCACGCATGCAGGTGGGTATACATTTCATTAGTCTATTAATGAATGATTATGAATGAATGTCAAAGACACTGGAGATGCAATTGGTAGGGAGATGGGCTTTTAAAATGTATTAAGTTTGGAATGCACAAGTGACTTGTTCATGGAGAAGTACATGGTGAAGTAGAGGACTGTGTAAGGTGTTTAAAGGTGTTACGTTGTAAGCATTTACTGAGTCTTAAAAGAAGCCATCGTTTATGTTTAGAAGCTATGGTTTATGGTGGTGGAATAAAAGAAGCTATCATTTAAGTTTGAATCTACTGTTTGTATAGTTCATTTAAGTATAGTTAGTTTAGCTCATCTGAAGTGGCATTGTAAGTTTGCATACTCATTTAAATGAAGCAGCATTATATGGTGTGTGACTCATGTACTTATGTTAGCTTGATGTGTTTTCCTAATTTTGCTGGGCTTGGCTTATCAGACTTTCATAAACCTTTAGCCTTTTGTGTCATAGTGATGACTGGGATATTTATAAATAAAATGAGATGTTTAGTTTAGTTTAAATAATGTTTAGTTTAGAAGCGTTTGTTTATTGTTTGTTTCTGGTGTTTATCCTTAAAGGTTATCAACCTAATTGGGTATCAACCTAATATTGCTTCTAAATAAGGAAGACCATAATTGAGTGAGTTGTCCCTTGCGTCCTTCAGTCTTTGACTGGCCGCTTTCAAGTTTGGGCAAGAGCTCAGATGTCAAAACCCACCATAACTTGACAGTCACTGTGCAGCCACCAACTATGTTAGTCTTCATTCATCACACACGTATATTTATAAATATTGTCCAATCGCCCTCCTCTATATATTCTGCAGGGCCATCGTTATTCACCCAATAAAAAAAAAAATATTGCGTGCAGAGCACCTGAGTAGGGTTGCAAAATTCTGGATAAATTTTTTAACACTCAGAATCAAGACCACAATTATTTTTATGATGATTCTTGAGCAATATATACATTTCTTTATACATTATTGTTATTATAAGCGAATAAAGCTGATTCTGATTATTTTCCATTACATATTGTCTTTATGAAGATGGAACAAATAATATGCAGTAATACAAGATATATACTGGAATTGCCATCCAATATTTAAATTTGATCAATATTCAAGTTACCAGAATCAGAACAAGAAACACAACTACTGAAAAAATGGTAATGACTGTACTGGACGATCAGTCATTTTCCCTAAAAGGAGGAGGGTTTCGTTGGCTCACCTGCCACATATAAGAGGTCTCAAAGTATGGATCCGCAACATGTTTATAATCCATATGCAATCTTTAGTTTTCCACAGAATAAAAAGTTATTCCATTAATCTGCAACTGCAAATACGGCAAGTTTCACTGGTTCTTCTGAACAACAACAACAACAACAAAAAAAAAAAGTGCAACTCAGTTTTCCTTATTGTGCTGCACTATAACTTACAGTGCTACAGTATATTCAAACCAGTCTTGAGTGAATTTAATAGTACAGGTTGCGTTTCATAGGATAAATATTTCAATGTATAGTATTTTTGCTTAAGTACTTTTAAATTCTGGTATTTTTTACTCTTACATGAGTAGTATTTTACTGGATGACTAACTTGAATAACATTTTGATGTGGTATCGGTACTTTTAAGTATGAAAATTGAGTACTTTTTCCACCACTATTTAGAATGTCTGCATTGTGCGGGCTTGACTGCAGAAGAATGAACTGTTCCATATGTTACGTGTACGGATGTGCAAACGCACTGTCCACATGCAGAGAAGTATACTCTGGCCTTCAGGGCCCAGAAGAAGGCCCTTAAGGCCAACCATTATATAAGCAGGCCCCAGGACCAGTTCTCTGCACAAACTTTCAATTGAAAGTTCTTCTTACCCAGTTGCGTGCTGCAGGAATCCAGGGACCAGCCAACTCTCACGACATGTGGGTCAGGCTCACTGCTGGGCAGGTGCTTTACCGAGATCTCCTCATTAATCTGAAAAGAGGACAGTTACTTCGGCTTAAACACATGGGCCATGAATTCACAACTCTATTCAGCTAATATTGCACTTATTGTAGCCTACCTTGACCTCATAGCAGACACGGCCTTTGGCGACGCCATAAGAGGCCCGGGCGCCCGACCACAGATAGGCGAAGCCCTCGATAGTGAGGGGGTAGCCACTGTACCGGTCGCGAGACACCTTGAAGTGCAGGTCACAATTGTCTGCCAGACCGAGAGAAAAGCCTTACTGTAACCCAGCACTCATTCAGTGGCGTTTAAAAAACTGCTATATGGTAATCCAGGACAAACAGAAACAAAGCCGTCTAACTCACAGGTGTCAATGGCCACCAGAGTGTCATCAAAGTCTTCCTCTTCCTCCTCTGCTGGGGGCTGGGGTGAGCGTGACCTGTCGAGGACAGCATGCAGGATATTTAACACACACCAAAAAAAAAAAAAACCTAGCTAAAGGAAACAAAAACCATGGCATTAATTACCTCTTATCTTCACGAAGTTCATAGTAACTGAATCCTCGGCCTTCGTCGTAGGGTCTCTTACGGCCATAAGGCATGTGCCTGTCATCCATCTTAACCTGCACACCCTCCTGGGTCTCCCACTTATCTGTCAGCTCTGGCTGCAGGTGCTGCTGCTCCTCTGGAATCTTATAATGATCTTCGTATTGCTGTGCTTCCTCGTCAGCCTTCATCTCCTCCTTCACCTCAAACTCTTCTGCACAGGATTATGAGACACTGCTTTACATACATCAACAGAATGAACTTCTGCAAACAATTAAAGGACTGATGCTATTGTTGAGATTTCGGCCCCTTTAAAAAGTGACTTTTGAGTACAGTAATAAACATTACCACTCCTGTAGTTTAATGTTAAAAAGGTACAACCGAAAGGAATAATTACTGAAGTTTAAATGAGCCACAAAAGGTACTTTCAGATCTATATCACCATCAGACGGTATGTCTTTTTAGACTTGAAGGTGAAATGTGTAGCATACCAGAGTCAAATGCAAAATATCTACCATGAAATCAATAAATCATTATGGCTCAGCCCTCATTGATAAGAGGTCACATTTACTGACACAGAGACCCCCACCCCCCTGCAAATTAGAATAACATCCAAGCCATACCCAGACAGGCACCCCTTTTCATATTAATTGTGTCCCACCTGCTTTAACTTCTGGTTGTACGTGTTCCACAAACTCTTGACCTTCTGGTTCTTGCGGCTCAGGCTCGTAATCCTGCTTCAAGTTGGATTCGTTCAAATCTTCCGAAGTAAAGTCAGTCCCGATCCCAAAGCCCATCTCAGAGGCTTCCACTTCAGGCATGCCTCCCTGCTCCCCGTTCTCTTCCTCCGCTGGCTCTTGATCGTCTTCGTCACCTTCATCTCCTTCACCTACGTAGGAGAATGGCTCTTTTTATACAGAAAGAACAGTCCTGAATAACTACACCGTTGCAGTCCTACCTCAAATTTATGGGCATAAAGCTTGACCACTGCTCGGGGCATTTCACGAGTTCCCTGGATGATTCCTTAAAACTGTTTGCCGACAACTGCAAAAAGTGCGCAAGGCAGGCAACTATTTTTATAAATCGTTAATTTACTTTGGATGGGAGCGATAGATGGAGGCTCCATGGATCAATAGAAAAGCTTGATCAAAAATAAAAATGACAGTTAAGACATGTAATATTAGTGATTTACGATACCTTCGTCCTGGTACCCCTCGCCGGCTCCGTCTCCGTCTCCGTGCTCAGCCTCCTCGCCGCCCACACACGCTTCATCCATTGGTCCCGGCGGCCCGCCCCCCTCTCCCGTGGCCTCGGCCTCGAGTGCCGCCTGCAGCCTGTCGACGAGATCCGCTTTCAAGCCGCGGGTGTCCAGGCCTCGCCGCTGGAGTTCCTCTTTGAGCTCGTTGACCTTTAATTTCTTCACATTTACTCCACTCATGATTTAGCCAAAATCGTGAAAACGGCCTCTCTCCCAAAAACACTGCAAGGAAATTTTTTTAAACAAAAACACAGAAATATAAATAAAAGCGCGGCCACCGGAATCATCAATAAACCAGTTACCGACATATATCGTCAATGGGAGTGCATATAATCCAGCGCTGTAATCGGTTCGTTTACCCAAGATAAACTATTTTTGCACAATCGGCTGAAAGGCAGTTTTTAAATAGCTTGATCGATCGGGCCAGAAATGAATGGCTGAGCCGCACTTTATGACATTAAAGCAGGAACTGTTACTGCAGCTGCAGGCCAGCTAGCAGTTCAGCTATCATTCACAGAAGCGCCACCACGTATGCAAATACAGCCCCCATACACGATACGCTCGTCGATCGGCGCTACGGTGCATAATGCATTGCAATACACATAAAAAGCTGCACAAAACACCAGACCTGTTTGGTTTATTCCCACCACGCAAACTCCCTCGCTTTGCTTGGCAGTATTAGCTCCACAAAATGGACGATAACCCCTCCTTCCTTCCCCGACCATTACACAATTGTTGCTTGTACTTCGGCCCCTCTCATTGGACAGTAACGCTGTCTACTCTGGCTTCGAGCAGGGAAATACAACCAATTACTTCTCCGTACGAAATTGCGTCACCCTCAGAGTAAACATAACAGTAACTTCCAGTTTCCGTTCAACAGAGAGAAAAAAGCCGTTTCAGTTGTCCCTTCCGTGCACTCTTTTTGATTAAAGCAAAATTAGCGGAGGATGCGAACTATTCTGTAGCACTATGTTATGTAATCTGAATCAGAAATATATTTTTTTATGTCAAAAAAGGTAGCATCCCTATATAACATTGTTTTCTCGATTGATTTGGCTCCATTTCTCAGTTGACAGTTGACATTTGTAAAACAACGACCGTAATCCCCATACCATGATGTCACTTTTGCACAGAACGTCGTTCTAGATTGTTACACACACATTTCCAAATGTTTTAGAACATGCATGCAAATTGTCTTATACAAGTGCTGTCATTTAATATATTTTTCAAGTATTGTTGGTGAAAATGGATTGTGCAGTTTCCCAGTGTAATACTTTTACACATAAAGCGAGTAGGAGTATTACTAAAATAATTGAATCAGTACAAGGGCATGCCATAAAATCCCAAAAAAGTAACACAGAACCCCTATGGTAATTAATAAGGATTTGCTGGTATTATATTGCACTTGATATGATCTGTGTTCATGGGAGGTCACTATAGAGCAGGGGTGTCAAACTCCAGTCTTGGAGCCTTGTATAGCTTAGTTTTTCTCCCCTGTTCCACCACAAATGATTCAGCTGAAGAGTGGTGTGGTAATTAGCATAAGGATTTGAATTAGGTGTGTTTAATGAGGGGAAACCCAAAAATGTGAAGGGCCCCCCAAGACTGGAGTGTGACACCCCCAATATAGAGGGAGCTGGTGATCTCCAGAAAGCCACTACTGTTGACATTTTTGTCACTAAAGGAGGTTCACTAAATATCATAGCTCATATACTTACCACAATGTTCAGCATGGATATGGCATTGTGAAACATTGTGTGTGTTAACTAAATAAGACTGTCTTTATTATGATGATTTAGATGAGAATCGGATAACATTTAAGAGCCATTTGTGCAGAAGGGATTTATAAGCTTTTCTCACAACTGTAGTTTCAAACTTTCAAAATGAAAGTCTTAGTCGAAAAAGATTCTGAAGACAAGCCAGGTCTTACAGGTAACCAGGGTCTTTGCAGAGCTTTACTTTTGAAATTTAAATATTGCAATAAAGTTCCACTGATTATACAGATAATAAATACATGTTACTTTTCCAGTAGATGTTTACCATTCAAAGTCATCAAAACCCTCTTTATTACTTTATATAACTTAGGTCAGTCTAATTTTCACTCTGATGCCTTATTTTCTAAGAATCTTCTTGAAGGATGTTCTTTCTTCCACAGGTTGCAGTCTACAGCCTGGCCACAAGTCTTAGGCCTCCCAGGTTCTGGTGAGACCCCCCCCCCCCCCCCCCCCGGCCCAAAAAGGGAAGGGAGAAAAGTTTTTAATTTCTCCCAAAAAAAAAAAAAAAA